AATAATTTTTCAGTTACCATGGAAACTGGCTGTAATTTTTACATGTAAGTATTTCAAATTTGGCTTAAATACTACTGGTCTTAGCCAATCACATTTCAGAAATTTCTCAGCCTGTAGTATAAAGAAAGTAATTGGGCAAGTGATTTCAAATTTGAACTTATGAGAACAGTAATCTAACTCTCCTCTCTTCTTGTCTCTTTCTCGTGTCTATTTCAATAGTTTTACAAACAGCCAGCCAGAAAACTGCAAGAACACATTAAAGGCTTTATTAAGAAGAAAATGACACAGGTGTCCAGTTTCAGATGTCTAATTACAAGTCATGTTATTGATCAGCCGTAATAACAGATTTGGACGTTGTCGTCATTTGACTAGAACTACAAGAATTCCTTTCGTTTTTTCTTTATTATTCAAATTTTGAATTCCCAGTGGGGTTTCAATAACATTTGCCCTAATTAGCATAAGAAACAGAAAAACTGAAGGATTCTGGTAGTTGTAGTCAAATGACGCCATTATGCAAATCGCCTATTAGATGCCTTTTTGATCCTATGCCATTGAACTGACAAAATAGGTAAATAGAGAACCAATCAGATCTCAAGAATTTAGTTATGGACACGATAATCTGTCTACCACTACGAGCTGGTACCTATTTTTGATTGACTTGGGGTGCATTCCTCTGGGATGATCTGGATCAGGATCCGTGACCCAAGATCACTACGATCATGATGCATCAAAAGAACTGATGTATCTGTGACTAAAGTGGATTCATCGGTTCCTTTGCTGCACTATGATCTGAGTGATATTGGATCACTGATCCCGATCGAGATCACCCCAAAGGAACGCACCCTTGTTTATAAGATCAAGTGATCAATTACACTAGTCCTTTTTCCACGAAACAATCTGAGCTTAAGTTTATGTGTAATCCAACCTTTTTCTCCGTTTTGCACTCCTGTAGTCGTCCCCTCTTCTCGCACAGATGTATCAAAATAAGATGACACTGGTGCCTCACCATCATGATCAATCTCGCAGGCCATCAAATGAACTCGGCTAGACTCTGAGCAGCTTGAAACCGCAGCTTGAGAAATCCTGACGCTACCAGAAGCCATGTTTCAAGCACAATAAAAGCACGAAAGGACTACGTTAACGGACGCTTGAGGTGTTAAAACAACTTCTTTTTAATTGCAGCCTCCTCTGGAACTCAAGAAATCAACAAAGGTTGCAGATTTCGCAAAGACAACGAAATCGGCTACGAAATCTACAACAACCATCTACAACGAAATGCGCGGGAAATCACATGCAACCGCGATCCTCAGCGGCTTACCAAGTTAGTGTATGCGTTTGTTTACCAAACGTTTTCAAAATGGTGGATCTTCCGGTTGTAATTTGACGTTGAAAACTTTGAAGATTCTTATGGAATGAGAAGGGTAAGAAGTACAAAGCTGGTCTAAATAGAAGTAAAAGACATTAGAATTTTAAAGGATTCTTGGATAATCAATTGAGATTTTGCTCTGTTTTGTAGGGTGGCCATACCTTCCCTTGCCGCCGATCAGCCGTTGGACGCGCTGGTAATTTAAAAGCTATTTTGTTGTATTTTTTTTTGTCGACAAATAATGTATTTTTTGTCGACAAATGGTGTATTATTGTAGTACTTAATTTGTTAGTACTAGTTATGAATTTGATCAGGTAACTTCGGAATTTGGAACAAAATCTGTAATGGTGAAAATAACGGGCGTGTGGAAAAGGTGGAATCCGGAATTCGGAATTCGGAATTCGGAATCCCGGAACCGGAACCGGAACGGGAACTGGAACTGGAACTGGAACCAGAACCGGAACTAGACAAATAAGAATTGCAGATGTGTTTCCAGTTCTGCTTTGTTGCTTCCAGTTCCGTTTCTGGATTCCGAATTCCATATTTTCCTTATGTCCAAAATAACTGGATTTATTTGGACAGATAACTTCACGTTAACTGCAGTTAGGAGTTTAACCTAACTGCAATTGTCGGCCCAAGAATTTGACTATTTTTAAATTGTTTTTTTGTTAGTATCTAGATCTACCTTTTTAATTTATATGTATCTGATATGTGTCTTTGTTTTCTCTGAAACAAGCATAGCAAGGTACCTTTTTTATTGCATTAAATTAGTCTATAAGTCATTGCCTTTCCACTGAATGAGTAAGAAAAAATTTTAATGTCAAGTAAAAAAATTACTGCCAAAAATGTTTACTGACCCTTTCACTCGTGACCTGAACCTTACCACCCCTAGAAGATGCACTCTGGAAAGACTTTTCGTCAACTCTGATCCTAGATGTACATTTTTGCCAAGAAACGCATATCAAGTTGTTCCTTTAAGACAATGCAATGTATCTATTGAAACTTTTTAATATTAACTCCATGTGTTTGGCCACTGATACCCCAAAACGTGGCAGCATTCAGAAAAAGAAAAACGCACTTAATGGGTACCATTGCACAGATTTTTGATGCACCTTTGACGAGTTAGGACTCTTAAACAAGCACTGAACCATATGTTTTTTATCGCACATTTCCAATACCTGCATTAATAGGAACAACCAGAAAAATTTGAAAAAAATCTAAGGTCAAGTGTTATTTCTAGGGAATCACCTTAACAGACAGCATGACTTTACTGACTCTGAAGATGACTTTACTTTACTGTGTTGAAATGTCAGTCACTTAATTGCCTTGACAATCACATTTCTAAAGGTACTGACATTCTTGAGTTCTAACCATAACAAAAGAACCGCTTTTGTTACCACACACCTGAACACTTTCCAGCAGAACATAACAGTTTTTTTGTTTTCTCCAGTGTGACTGATTGTTAGATTTCAAGTCCATTTAATTAAAGATATGTGCTATATCACTTATAAAACATAGTCATCACTCAGCATATTCAGTGTGGAAAGAAAGTCACATCGATAGCCCACTTAGCCAGTGGACATTGATCTGAGTCAGGCTATTAGGGATTCTGTCCGTCACTTGACTAAAGGGCAAGTGAAGTTTCTTGCAAAAATTTTGTGGAAATTCAATTTACTGAGGTACTGTATGAGATGAAATATTTCTGTGGGCTAATGAGAAGGTCTTTCGATTTGGTTTTCTTTGCACCTGGACATTTCTTGATCTTGCATCTGTAATTCAACAATTTATATACAACTGTTTGGAGTTACAGTCAAAACACTTCAATACAGACACCAAAGGGGCAGACCTGAGTGTCTGTATCATGGAGGTTACTATAGAGAAAGAGATCACATGAATTCGGGTTTTTCTGGGACCAAGTATACTGTCTGTAATGTAGGGGTGTCCATGGAGGCGTCCATAAGGAGTGGTTTGGCTGTATTTGAAATGATGATTATGACCCACAGAATGAATTTACTAGCTTCTATTGAAGCAGGTGTATCAATGTATGTAAATGTTCTTTAGTTGACTCCGGATAGCTTGAGGCTGGTTTACAATAATGATTATAACTTCAGGCAATATCAGTAATATCTTTTACTTAACAATTAACCCATATTGTCACCCAACAACAACAGTGACATATACATGTAATAGACAAATAATCTGGGAATGTCTTGTGTCAATTGTATTGTGGATTGCTACATTGTTATCTTTTGGTTTTGAAACGCAGTGGAATATGGATCTCTTGAACCCTCAATTTTTTTAAATCTCCCAATAACTTGAACCTCAAGTTTTTTCCCTCTCCTCAGTTGAACAATGTAATTTTACCCCAGATTTCTCAAACTACCAGATTCTCAAACCAATTTTTGTTTCCCTTGGAGGTTCGAAAAATCAGGATTCTTCTATAAAATCAAGTTTCCTGTTGTATTCCAAAAAGTAGATGTAACAATTTTTTCAAAGAGTGTACTTGGGAACTAGGGAATACTGCAAGAAAACACTGCTGAGTATACCATTTTGTTTTACTTTATAAGCAACTGCTTATACCTGCCATTTCATCCACAGACTCAAATATGACATTAGTTATGTCTTAACACCGAGAGGGATGTGGTTCAATTGGTGATATCAACAATGTAGTAGACATTGTCTGAAGATCATCTCATGAGCTTTATATTTGATATCTCCAGCTTCAGGCCGAGCAGCATTAGATCAGGATTTAGATTCCATTCTGGGTGGTAATGATGGTAAGCGTTGAAGTCTCAAGTTTCTTTATTTCCATACAACAAACTGTGTGCAAAAACTCACTGGATTAAAAAACTTTCACACACCTTATCTTATATTAACAGAAGTTTTGTTGTCTGAAGCAATGATGATCTGGGACTTGGTGATGAAATGTTTGGAAGTGAGCGGCCCTCTACAGCTCTGAGCGAAAGATTGCACAGAAGGCAGGCAAAGAGAGAGGGCAAAGTTGAAAAAATTAATGGGTCGTATTTGGATGATAACAAGACACCACCAGAAGGAAACAAGCCAGCGAGAAGAGAAACAACGAGTAATGGTAGGGACGTCTCTACAGTTTCAGATTCTCCCTGGACACGTTTTTTTAAAATTTGATTGTAAAAGTAACGTCTGAAGTTTGCTTAAGTGGATAGAATACTCAATGCAGTGGTTTCATTAAAATTTTCAGTAGGAGGGTAACTGGTTTTCACAGGCGGGCAAAACGTTTTGAACTAAACTTCTTTACAAGAAAAACTTTCCTCTAGATGGTCAAAGCAGGCGGGCAAAATAATAGTAATAATAAAAACTACTTAAATTGTACTTTTTAACATGCAATGATCAAAGGCGCATTACATCATAAATTCTGAAAATCATCGTCACAGCCTGTCAGTTTGCTCGGTAACTGGCCTTAAAGGAAACCTCTCACTCACACTGTCATTGCACATGTACGTGCAGTCCATCGCAATTTCCGTGCCCCATTTTATTTATAGTTACATTGGTGTCAATCTTTGATTGACAGAAGTTAACGTATGGGAGCACAGCCTATGCCTCGACCCGGTGCAGCCTCGCTCGCACGCGGGGATCTGGCTTCACGCGCTTTTGCAGTTTGCTCTGTGGAAGTTGTTTGTGTTTGTTCCCGCCCTTCCTTTCACTACCCCAGTCCGTCATCTCCCTGCTCCCCCTTTTTTATTTTATTTTCTTTCTTCACTGGCATCGGACAGTGCGACTATGCAAAGGGCCTTGCTATGCTGTCGTTTTCCATAGCAACCGTCCAAGCACCAATCCCTCAGTCGGTTCTGTGCCTTGGCTTCGGGGCCACTCCACTGGTGCCTTGTTCCTTTGCATTCCAGCCAAATCCCATCTCCGTTCATTGCGTAGCGTAATTTACAATAAAATTATGCATACATACTGGTTCTTGTATCAGGAGTGAATCAGATTCAGGCCCGGCAAATACAACAAGCAGTACAGATTTTGTTAGCCTCATGAAATCTGCAGTCGGTATATTCTACGTATATCTCTTGTCTTTAGTTTGTTATTTGCCTTACTTTATCGGTTTGGTCGCCTTTAAAGTCAATGGCCCCAGGATCACATTAAAAAGATTTCCGCTTTAATCATAGACTCTCGTATATCTTTACTCATCATTAAACCCAGTAATTTACTGCTGCTATTTATTTATCGTGTTATTTTTACACATTTACTTTTATCTAACTTTTGCATATGTGCATATATATATATAGTACAGCATTGTATTTCTCGTTTTGCATTTTCTTCCTGTATTGTATTAATCACGATGTATTAATAGCACAATATTGCATTTTTCATTTCGTTACGTAATCTCCCACACTGTAACCGTATTTAAACTTAGTTTTCGTCCTTTTTCTCTTGTAACTGATGAAGGTCTAAGACCGAAACGTTTTTCTATTAAATTTTTAACTTTTTTACTTTTTTTACCGTCAGAAGTTGTCCGTCCTTGCTTTATCAAACGTTTTTAAATTCATTTTTGCGGTGAGGCTTGGACTGTGAATCTTCATTGATCCTCCTGACGCAGTGGCATTCTTTGTTGGCTTGAGGCATTTTATAACCGTTTTATATATATATATTCTATCTTAGTTCTTATGTACAGTTGATGTGATGTCTTCCAAGATTTTATCAACTTAATAAATGTAGATGTAGATGAAGATGAGACACATTCGACACGCTATAGTCGGTAGACATACTGCAGAACATGTCATGGTTCAGTAATCGTGCGTCAAACTTATCCTAAGACCAATTTTTGTTGAATCCAGTAATTTGAAATTTTTCCTGTTTAAATTCTATGGTATATGACTACTTAACACCGATGTAATTTGTTGTAGTTTTTAAACTTAAGTTTAATTAATTGTTATTAACGTTTCCCTACATATAGCGACATTGTTACCCTGGTGATTATATTATTGATGACAATAAAATAAACAGCGGACTATTCCAGCTTGAGATATATCTATTCAGTTGGATGCAACACACATTTTAAAAATGGTATTTGGATTGTGACTGTATTATTCTTAGTAGTAGTTTACCGTCGTGTATTATTGATTCTCTGGAACAAAGTGCTTCACCCACGCTTGGAAACGGAGCGTTTGTTGCGCGCGCACATGCGCAGTACACGAAACTGGGAGCAGTTTACAAGTTGTCCATTGATTATCATACCAAATGAAGACATCGTTCGGTTTTGTTTTATTTTTTATTGTTATTTCATCAAAATTTAAGATGATTAATACGTGAAAATTCTCTGGTGATGCCGCTGAATTTTTCTCGAACACCACTGTAAGCCCGTAGGAAGTCAATAGTGGTCTTCCTTCGGTAGTATTCTTCGCTATATTTCATTTAATTTGCCACGGCCAAGAGATCCGAAATAGAAGAACGTTGTTTAGGTTTTCGCAAACAGATGGCTTGGTTAATGGACAGGATGCAGATATGGACAGAGACCACTGACGTTTTTTGTCTTGGTTTTCATATAATAAGTAATTTAAGACCAATAGTTAAAATTAGAAGTTTTATCTCAATTTGATGTGAAACATAGTTTTCCATAATTATCCCTTAAATTTGAAATTTTTTTTTTTCGAATACCAAACATCTTAGAGGGCGAGCTCTACATCATTTCATAATTCAATGCCCAATTTGGGGCCAGTTTTCATTATGCTTTTTGGAAACACCTGGCTTGTTTAACAAACCCGGCTGTCAGGCCAGTGACGTCTTGGTGTTATTCTAATCAGTTATTAGAAAGTTCAAGACCCACGCATTAATTCTTCACCACGATTCACGTACTGTCAGTTTTAACTGTATTTTATGTCAACAGAACATCTGAATTGACTTGTTCTGGAAATACTTCGTTTACTTAGTGTTATGACTTAATTAAGAAGAACCAGTATTTACTGTATTTTATGACAAAATGTCTGAAGTGGCGGGTCCTGAGACACTTAATACAATTGACTTCGTTTGCTAAGGCGCTTAACTTAATTAAGAACAGGAATCTTTTCAGCCAAAGTAAACCAATTGGTTTGTGGTGTTGAGGAAGGAGACTCTCTTAGCTTCGTGAAACATCTTTTATGTCAACTTCNTTTATGTCAACAGAACATCTGAATTGACTTGTTCTGGAAATACTTCGTTTACTTAGTGTTATGACTTAATTAAGAAGAACCAGTATTTACTGTATTTTATGACAACAAAATGTCTGAAGTAGCGGGTCCTGAGACACTTAATTGACTTCATTTGCTAAGGCGCTTAACTTGATTAAGAACAGGAATCTTTTCAGCCAAAGTGCATCCATGTCCAATACAACGAACCTGAGTCGATTCGTCTGAGGTACGAACCAAATTCGACTCGATTCGCACGGAGTCGATCCGCACCACCAGAAGTCAAGCCCAGTGAAATAATGACACATGAACCTTCCTCGTTCTTAAAACTTGACAACAAACTTCAGTCGGTTCGTCTGACGTACTTGACGATTCGACTCGATTCCCACGAGGTCGATCCGCACTGGGCAACCCACCAGAAATCGCGGAACACACTAATCTTAAGACCAGTCACTTGCAGTGTTGTTATTGTTGATTCCTGTAATTAACTGCTTTTAGATTAGACATCATTTAGTAGGCTATCATTAACGTTTTACCGCCGAAAGTGTAAAGAAATTGCAGATCACTTGACGTGAACAACAGTTTAATGAAATCATCCAAAGAACTGCTCACTATTTTCTCCCTTTTAAATTGTTTTGGTATATGGTTAGAGAACATCGATGTAATTCGTTGTAGATTTTTATTAGTTCTTTCCTCTAAAGTGTAGCGGCACTCTTGATCTTGTAACTGTGTAGTTAATGGTAATGTGAATACTGAACCTGACATCGGAATGTTCTGACCCGAGTTAGATTTGTTTTGGATATTAAATATTTTAATCACTGGAAAAAGTGTTTCTCTTCGGGCTGGGCTTTGCGTCATAGTTAACTGTTTATGGATCATGACTTTATAGTTAGTGGAAGTTTCACTTCATATGGTATTGATTCCCTTGAACAGTGTGCTCCTTCAGGAAACGCATTTGTTGTGCACGCCACATGCGTAATACACGAGACTTGCCATCGATTAAAACACTGAGCGACTTTATGAAGACATGGTTTTGTTTTTGTTTCCTTGTTTTCGTTTGTTAATATAAAGCAAATTTAGTCATGAAATTTCTTGTATGTAGGTACTAACTTGTTCTCGTTCAAGGTCCTTAGATTGTAGCCAACGATCTTTTTTTTGGATGTATTCTTACCGACGTCTCATTCACTACGTCCAAACAATCCGAAACGAAACAGGGTCTTTTACGTTTTAGCCAAAGATATAACTTGCTTAGTAGACAGTATGCACACAGACAGAGACCAGTGACGTTTTCCTTCTTGGTTTTAATGGATCAGTAACTCAAAAAGGACATAAATACAATAGCAGTTTCATCTCAATTCGACAGCTAACATCACTTATCATTCTCATTTCTTCCCAAAATTTGAAATGTCTTTCATAAAAACAAACTTTGAAACAGCGAGTTTCGAAAGAAGTTCTATAAAAGAAACTTCGATCGATGTCATGAAGAAATGATCTTGTGAATTACGACTTTTTAACGACAATTCCGTGTTGTTTTACCTTCATGGCAATATTAATTAAGTATGGGAAATTTTCATATCCACGTGCCAACTCTACTTATTTGCGATCAAGCATGTTACTAAGGGTCTTCGTGGGATGAAATCCCTTGCGATGTCTAATTTACCACGTCTAAAATGTGCAATTTCGGGCCAGTTTTTGTTATGTTTTTTGGAAAACACACGGCTTTTTTAATAAACCCGCCCGTCAGGCCAGTGACGTTTATGTCTTGGTTTTATTCTGATAAGTTTTTAGAAAGTTCAAGAACCACGTATTAATTCTTCATCGCAATTAACATACTGTCAGTTTTAACCGTATTTTATGACAACAAAACATCTGAAATGACTTTTTCTGGAAGTACTTCGTTTACTTAGTGTTTTGACTTAATTAAGAAGAACGAGTATTAACTGCATTTTATGATAACAAAATGTCTGAAGTGGCGGGTTTTGGGACACTTAATTGACTTCGTTTTCTAAGGCGCTTTACTTGATTAAGAACAGGAATCTTTTCAGCCAAAGTGAAGCAATTGGTTTGTGGTGTTGAGGAAGGAGACTCTCTTAGCTTCGTGAAACATCTTTTATGTCAACTTCTCGGTCACCTTGAAGAGACGTCTGTGGATATGATGAAGAAAGCAATTTGTGAATTTCTGCTGGAGTTCAACCCCAAAGTCGTCGAATTTGCAGACCTTCGTTCGACTTACATCGCCAATTGTGTCTTCAACAGTTTTCTGTCCTATACCTGTATCATGCTGAACATTGTGACAATCCACGCGATAAGAAAAACTTCCTCGTTGCCCAATCCTTTAAAAGCACTCCTCCTGAGTCTTGCTGTTTCTGATGTTGGTGCTGGTCTGTTGTGTCAGCCTTTTTACACCTCACTTCTGGTAAAATGGTTACAGCAAAACAACCTTGGCTGTAATACCTATATAATTTTTGAGGTCATTGGATGTGTGTTTTTCTTAGCTTCCTTCTTGGGTGTTGTGGCCATAAGTGTTGACAGATTTTTCGCAATTCATCTTCATCTCAGATATCGGGAACTTGTGACTCACAAGCGTGTTGTTGCTGTGGTGATATCAAAATGGGCGCTTAGTGTGTTTCTTCCTTTGACGATGTTCTGAATTCCGCTGGATATTCTTATACCTGTTTTCTTATTGTAGGATTTATTGGTCTTCTCGTCACGACAGTGGTGTACATCGGAATTTATGTAACCGTAAAAAGTCACAAGAATCAGATTCAGGCCCAGCAAGTACAAGAAGGAGCACAGAATGGCGAAATGGCAAATTTTGCCAGCCTTATTAAATCTACAAACGGTATATTCTACGTATATCTGGTGTTTTTGATTTGTTATTTCCCTTTCTTTATCAGTTTGGTCGTCTTTGTAATGAACGACCCCACTATCTCTTTAAAAAGATTTCATCTTTTCTCGTGGACTCTCGTATATCTTAATTCAACTTTGAACCCAGTAATTTACTGCTGGAAGATGAGACNAGCCTCCTTCTTGGGTGTTGTGGCCATAAGTGTTGACAGATTTTTGGCAATTCATCTTCATCTCAGATATCAGGAACTTGTGACTCACAAGCGTGTTGTTGCTGTGATGATCTCAAAATGGGCGCTTAGTGTGTTTCTTCTTTTGACGATGTTCTGGATTCCGCTGGATATTCTTATACCTGTTTTGTTATTTGTAGGAGTTATTGGTCTTCTCGTCACGACAGTGGTGTACATCAGAATTTATGTAACCGTAAAAAGTCACAAGAATCAGATTCAGGCCCAACAAGTACAAGAAGGAGCAGAGAATGGCGAAATGGCAAATTTTGCTAGCCTTATTAAATCTGCATTCGGTGTATTCTACGTATATCTGGTGTTTTTGATTTGTTACTTGCCTTTCTTTATCAGTTTGGTCGTCTTTGTAATGAACGACCCCACTATCTCTTTAAAACGATTTTACGTTTTCTCGTGGACTCTCGTATATCTTAATTCAACTTTGAACCCAGTAATTTACTGCTGGAAGATGAGACA